TTTTCTTTTCTTATATTTCTTTTTTTTCTTGCAATTTTTACACAAACACCTCGGTACACGCCAATTCTTTGGTGTAGAGCCCAACCTTCTTATTTTCATCACTTTGGCACATCCTAAGCTATAAGGTATGGCTTAGAAACGGGTTATATAGGTTAAAAGATAGTAGGAGTGATGAAGGAAGGGCTAAGTGTTTGGTTGCAAAGGGGTTAATGACGCACACAAAGGGGTAGGATGAAAAGTCTTTTAGAGGGTGAAAACATGCATAGCCTAACATCATCTCTTATGGTCCATCCAACTTGGAAGCGACATACCTACAAAAATAAGAAAATTCTTTAGTATCCAATACAAACCTAATGAGAGCAATCTAATTAAGAATAAAATCGAAGAGTGTTTAAGAGTAGAAACAATGAAACCCCTCTCAAAGAAAATGGCTTTTGGCTCAATTATCTCACAAAGGTAGTCTCCACTAATATTCCATAGTCATTCGAGCATAGCAACCTTGTCCACCAAAACATTACGAGTATGGTATTGTGAAGTGCAAAGATTATAATGCAATCACCCTTCATGGCAACACGTTAGTAAAGCATTCATGATCAAAACATGGCATATACATCTCTATTAGCAAGGAAAAGTGACAACTTTAACTAGAATTTATGTTTCACAAAAACTGCTTGTTTTCAATTTTGACCTCAGATCAGTTTTCAACAGTTATCTCTTAAAGTACTGCATGGATTTTGACAAGCCTTATATGCTCAGAAAATAGACAGAGAAACGCATAACTTTTCTTTAGACCAAATACCAGAAAACAGACTAGAACTGCATGAAAACTGACGTTGAAAACAAAACACAGTATAGAATCGCAGAAAAACTGGAGTTCCAGACCCCTGTTCAGAAAAACAGCTGTAACTTCCAAAAAAAAGTCAGAGAATTACGAGTCTTATATGGCTGGATTCAGCACGAAAAATCGAAAAAGGCCACGTGGGCCAAATCTTCAAATCCATCACAGATTAAAACAGTATTATCGAAACATAAACACCAATGTTCTGCATGACTCGAAAAAGACTAAAAACGAAAAAATTAAAAATAAAACGAATGTTACCTACCTCAAACCTAAACGAAACATTGTCCTCAATGTTTAAAAAAGTAAATAAATGCAAGGACAAAGAATAGTAAAATAAATGAACGCAGGAAACACACAAACAAAAATTTTAAAAAAATAAGGAACGAAGGTACCTAGTTGGGTTGCCTCCCAACAAGCGCTTAGTTTAGAGTCAATAGCCCGACTTTCAGATGCGTTATTTGGGATTATTGAGAAGGATGTTGGTCTCATCCTTAAGAAATGCGGCTGCCACATGTGGTTTTAAGCGATGGCCTTTGACTCTGAAGGTTGTACCGTCACAGTCATTCTTAATTTGCTTGTCATGCCCCTTCTTTGTATGGTCCTTGAAAAGTCTCGTACTCTCGTATGATTTATTTTGAAGTTCCTCTAATTCATTCCTTCCTGAGTCATATGGTTTTAGTTCATCCAAGTACAAGGTAGATCCAGGAACCCTTGGTTTGTCAACTTTGGAGATGGAGGCGTGTACCAATGGATGGCTCAGACTCTCATTTTCCTCTGCTTTTCCGTGAAATGTTATTGGTTCAAAAACTTTGAATGTCGCTTTTTCATTCCCAACTCTGACAGTTAGTAGCCCTTCTTCCATGTCAATCAGAGTTCGTCCAGTAATCAGGAATGGACGGCCCAAAATTAATTGTGTTTCGGAATCTTCTACCATATCCAAAACCAGAAAATCAGTCGGAAATATGAGTGTATCAACTTTTACTAGAACATCTTCAATAATTCCATCAGGATATGTGATTGATTTGTCTGCCATCTGTAAAGAGACAGTAGTTGGTTTAATTTCACCAATACCAATTTTTTTAGCAACAGATAAAGGTAGTAAATTAATGCTAGAACCTAAATCACATAAAGCTTTTTCAAAGAAATTATTTCCAATAGTGCATGGAATTTTAAAAATCCCTCTATCTTTTTTCTTTGGTGGAAGCTTTCGTTGCAGGATGGCGCTACATTCCTCAGTCAGTTGGATTTTCTCATGATCACCAAATTTCCTTTTCTTCAAGAGGATGTCTTTCATGAATTTTTCATAACTTGGCATTTGTTCCAAAGCTGCAGCGAATGGAATGTTGATTTGCACCTTTTTGAACGTCTCTAAGAAATTAGAAGATTGCTCATCAATTTTATTTTTCTTCAGCCTCAGCAGAAAAGGGATCAGTGGGACATATGGCTTCAATGGAGGAGAAGGAGTGGGCATAACAGCATAATTTTCTTCTTCTTGGGATTTCTCAGCTTCTTTCTCTTTTTCTAATTTTTCTTTTTCCAAGTCAACCGCTATATTTACTTGCTTCTTTTCCCGAATTGTGATTGCCATTACTTGTTCTTGATTTTTCGGATTAATTTCTGGTTGGCTTGGAAATACTCCTTGGTTTCTTCCACTTATGACATTAGCTAATTGGCCAACTTGCACCTCCAAATTCTGAATAGAAGCTTGCTGATTCTGAAATTGAGTTTTTGTTTCAGTCATGAATTGGGTGGTAGACATAGTCGCCAACCGGGGTTGTATGTATTGGAATAAGGATTATTCCTTTGTCGATTAAATTCTCCAACCTGATTGACTTGCTCAGCAGACGCAAATGGGTTCCCTGTGGTACACTCTGAACTTGGATGAGGGCCTGCACAAAGTTCACAACCAAAATTAGTACTAGTGTTTATAGAATTAACACTTAAAGAATCAACTTTTTTAGTAAGGTTAGAAATTTGTGCTGTTAGCAAAGCCATAGCATCGACTTCCAAGACCCCAGCTGGCTTCAGATTCATTCTCTCACTTGGCCATTGGTAGTTGTTGGATGCCATGGTCTCCAATAATTCAAATGCTTCGGTAGCCGTTTTTGCCATTAAGCCCCTCCAGCAGCTACATCAACTAGTGTCCTGCTTGTTTGACTCAACCTATTGTAGAAAGTCTGAACTTGAATCCAGGTTGGTAGCTCATGGTGAGGAAACTTGCGTAATAAGTCTTTGAATCGTTCCCAGGCTTCATATAGAGGTTCCTTATCATATTGAGCGAATGACATGATATCTTGTCGGAATTTTGCAGTTTTGGCTGGTGGGAAAAATTTAGCAAGGAATTTCTTAGATAAATCATCCCAAGTACGGATGGAGTCTTGTGGCTGTGACAGTAACCAAAGCTTGGCTTTATCTTTCAAGGAGAAGGGGAATAGCCTTAAACGGATCGCATCATCAGTTACTCCATTGAACTTGGACGTATCACAAATCTCCAAAAATGTCGCAAGATGGATGGATGTTGGGATCTTCATTCGGTAGACCACAAAATACAGATGAATTCTGCAGCATGGTGATCATGGCTGGTTTGATCTCAAAATTGTTGGCTGCAATAGCAGGACGTCGGATCGCTGAGGGAGTTGCCACTAGGGGGCCAAATTCCCCCACTGCTCTTTCTGCTTCCTCCGCCATAGGTGTGGATGGTGGTTCCACCAAAGTGTGCTTTTTGTTTCCTTTGTTCCGCTTATGAAACGTATGTTCGATTTCTGGGTCAAGTGGTATGAGTTCTAGGGTATGAGAACGGTGCATACACGGATCAAAGTACCTGAAACAAAAAGAAGAAATTCAAATTAAACTCAGAATTAAAATATATTGATATTAATAGAAAATAAAACAGTCCCCGGCAGCGGCGCCAAAAACTTGTTGTGAAATTATTGCAAGCGCACAATTCGTACAAGTAATATAGAAATAAGTAGAGTGTCGTTTCCACGAAGACTGTAATTTCCTATTAACTACCAATTATGATTAATTCAGAAGTTTATTTGAACAGTTAATTAAGAAGATTGATTAATTCAAGAAACTAAAACAATTATGAAAAATAACAATTTAATTAACGATAGAAAATTAAGATGATGAGACACTAGAGCATCCGATTTCACCATAACCAATTCTACTTCATTCTTATAGCCAATTAACCCTAATTACTATCCTTGTTGACAGTTGGTTTCTCCTAATTCATTCGATATCCCCTCTCGGGCTCAACCAAAAGTATTCTCAATTAACAACCCATTCTCTCTCGAGCAACGGATTTAGAAAACTAAGAACCCATTAAGTTCTATGAGAACCTACAAGAAAACTGCATGAGTCATGTTAGTCCCTCTCGGGCACTCATTCAAGTCATGGTATTTGTTACAAGAAGCAAACACCAAACATCTCCTCTCGGTCTCCGCTTGGATCATCAATTAAATATTAGCTAGATATTTAAATCATTAAGAACAGTAACAAATACTCAACATGGGATAATAATAAGGAATTAATATAACTATAAAAATTGAGTATTCATGGTTAGGCTACATCGTAGCCCTAGCAAGGAAAATTAGTTCATGACAAAAGAAAAGATAAATAAGAGAATTGTTGTCATAAAACTGATTTGGCCGATGGATTTGATCTCTGGATTCTCCACAGCAACCACTTTCGAAAGCTCCTCAAGTAGTGCAGCAGCAAATTCTTGGCTCTCTCTAATATTTTTCTGGTTATATGAAAGTTGTGTATAGGAAGATGATGGAAAAGATGATCCTCCCTAGAGAGAACTTAGGGTGACCTTATATAGTGTAAAACAACTAAACCCTACTCTAAAAAGGTCTGGAAAAACTCTCCTAAAGCAAAACCAAATTCCAAACAATTAAGGAAACAAACTAGGAAAGAATCCTTATTTGACTTGGAAACACGTCAGCCAACTTGCACGCACGTTTTGGGGT